TGGAGAAAGCAGACCTGGGTCGCATCCCAATTCCACGCAAGTTGCTCTGGGTAACTTACCTCACCTCCTTCAGCCTCAGTTTCCCTGTCTCTCTAGGGGAGTGATGATTGTACCTGCCTCTTGGGGCCGTGGCGAAGAGTCATGAGCCCTAAAGTACCCAAGTGCTTCACCCAAACTCAGCCTGGGGAGCCAGATGGGGAGACGGGAGCTCAGAGAGGCTGAGCCCCTTTTCAGGGTCACAAAGCTGCTAAGACAGGTCTGTCTGAATCTGCCAAACACTACAGATTTAGGAGGGCAAGGAGAGCAACAGGGAAAGAGGATGGAGGTGGGAAGAGTGAAGGGAGGGAGGAAAGGAGGAGAAAGGGAGGAGGGAGAGCAGCAGGGAATGTCGGGATGACTGGCTGGAGTGGGCGGAGCAGCCAGAAGACACAGAGAGAAGCCACGTTGGGATGTGAGTGACCACCAAGGACTCCCAGCCAGCGGATGAGCTAGCGTGCGTTTGTATCCTCGCAGTCACGTGACTTAAAGTGACTCAGACACGTCTGTGAGCACTCAACTGATCAGCCAATAATGAAGTAAATACATCAATTTGTGAAAGCCCTTGTGTTTCCCTACCATGTGCTGCCACACTAGCTGTTGAGGCCTGGAGGCTGGCAGATGGAAAGCTGCCTGGGAAGGATCATTCTTCAGAGGCTCAATTCATTAACTGAAACAACCAGTCTTAGGTAAAAATAAAATTTCAGAACTTGAATTAAGGTTGAAGTATCTCCCCTCTTCCAGTTTGGATCTGCTGCAGTGGGAAACCCGCTGTCACAGAAGGGGGACATGGGTGGGCTTTCTTTGCTAGCTCGGGGGTGGGGCGGGAGTGGAGGGACATTTTAAGCAAAGGCTCAAAACAGCACCACTTGCTCATGCTGTTCAGTGTGGTTGAGACAGTGTGGACCAAAGAAATAGTTCTGTAATGATCTCTTTCTGTAATTGTCTCCCTCACCCAAGAGTGAATCCCTTGAGCAGAGGGACCATGCACCAGTCATTGCAGAATCTTCTGGGCCAGCTGTGCCTGCTGCCCAGGTGGTGCATCTAATGGGACAATGGTAATTCCAGGCACACTGATGTGTCTCTTTTGTTAGAGTTATTTTATTGCTTTCTAATAGCGGAGGAGGCTGGGAGACGTGGTGATTATTTCTTACCTAAGCGCTGGTGTGTGTGTGCATGTGTGTGTCTCTTCTTATCACTGATGCTCAAATGAAGTCTTAGTATTATTAAGAAAGTAGTTTTGACTTTGAGAATCCCCTGAAATGGTTTCAGGGATTCCCAGGAGTCCATGGCCCACGCTTGAAAATCGCTGTCTCTTGATGTAATCTGAAGAAAGCAGAATACAAAGAGGATTTTTACCTCCCTTCTTGATAACGTGCTTTTTAAATTTGGCCTAAGATTGCATTCATTTTTTAAAGAGCCAGCGTCGTCCGATTGGTTTGCATTTGGCAGTTAACGTGAAAAAAAATCGTAGAAGACGTGATGCTAGGGGAAGCAAAGAACACCTTCACAGAAGAAGTAAAGCCTCTGCTCAGTCTTATTGGAGAAAATTTTGTCTTTTCAGGTGAGTAAGTGAGTCAAGAAGAGCATTTCAGGTAGGAGGAGAAGCAGGGCAAATCCACATGGCATAAACAGGTTGGGGTGCTGGGAGAGTTAGGATCCATTTGCAAGGTAATGGTGTCAGAGAACATTGTGGACAGGGCAGGAGGCAGGTCAGCAGTGGAGGCAGGAAAACCCATATCAGTTTGAGAATGGGAGCAGGTGAGATTGGTGATCAGAGGAGCCTGCTTTGGGCCAGTGGCTGAAATTGAGAGGCACAGGGGCTCTCGGGCATAGCCAACCTCAAGGTTACCAGTCAGTTTCAGAGGTCTAATGAGGCTCCTCTTGTGCATTTTTCACTCAAAGCTGAAAGAGAATGAAGTACCTCCCCAGATGTTGGTGGGAAAGGATTCACTGACTCCAGAGATGCTGTGTCCCTATGGTATTGATAACAGCTGATAGCCGTTAGGAGGTGGATGTAGAGATACTCTGTTGGTTTGGAGAAACCTGATACTGAATGAAACTGTCCAAATGCCTGCTCATGGGCATGTGCCTCCTTTGTAATCCACTGCTACCCAGAGAGAGCCCTGTACCTCTCAGACTGGATGACATTTATGGGATTAAAGGTCCATCTGCTCCACCAGATAGTGAGTTCCAGAGGCAAGGACTATGACTTCAAGTCATGCAGCAAATGTCTGTGAAGTTCCTGCTACGTGCAAGGCATTGTGCCAGGTGCTGGTGGGGCACCTACATTTAGGGCCTTAATCTGCATCCCAATTACATTTTTCTATTGATTTTGGCTCATAAGGCTAGGTGCCAGAATTATTGTGGATCTAGCATGTTAATCATTGCTTCATTTGCTCTTTTGTTTTGTCATTCATTAATTTATCCTTTAATTCAGCAAACATTGAGCACCCCTTATGTATCAAAAATTCCATCTAGAGTACTATTGAGGTTGTGTTATGGGTGGTTTGATTTGTTCTCATTGATCTTTGTGGTTTCTGGAAATGTGTATAAACATTTTATTTTGGGTACCCATGATTACCCACAGGAATCAAGAAGTTTTAAAATCAAATTTAAAAAATCATGTTTCCTAAAAGTTTCCTATTTATGAACATTTAGCCGACATTTACACAGACACACACATAACATTTGTAACAAGTCTGGCTGAGAAATATTTTCATTTGAAAACATGTTTTTCTGTCAGTTGTGCTTTCCTATTACCATGAATCTTTAAAATTCTCAAATTGGAGTGATAAGAATTGTCCAGTCCAGCCTCAGCCTCCAGCCCTCAGGCATGTAGATAAATGAACATTCTCATCCTTTTCTGCTTTTTTGCCACAATACTGACTTCATCTAGTTATCTCTAGTCCAGGCCCCTATGTCTTTCCGTTGCATACTTGGCTCTGTCAGAAAATAACCTCTTGAATAGCTTGGAACCTTCAGACACTGCGGGCGAGAGGGTAAAATAGTGCCGCCACTTTGGAAAACAGTCTGGAAGTTTCTCAAAATATTAAACATTGAGTTACCTTATAATTCAGCAATTCTATGTGTGTACCCAAGGGAAATGGCATATATTCACACAACACATGCACACAAATGTTCATTGCTTTATTCATAATAGCAAAAAAAACAAAAACCTGAATGTCTATCAACTGATGAATGGATAAATAAATGTAATATAAATAGATATATAAAGTAATAAATAATATAAAATGCTATATAAATAAAATATATAGTTATTCAACAGAACATAATTCAGTAATAAAAGGAGTGAAGTACTGATACATCCTGCAAGGTAGATGAACCTTGCAAACACTATGCCAAGTGAAAAAGACACAGATACATTGTATGAGTCTATTTATGTGAAATATCCACAATAGGCAAGTCTATGGTGGCATAAAGTAGGTTAGCCCAGGGGCTGGGAGGGGCGTGTGTGGGGAGGAAATGAGAGTGACTGCAGATTGGTACAGGGGTTCTTTTTGGAGTGATGAAAGTATTTTAAAATTAGAGTGTGGTGATAGTTGTACAACATGATGAATATTTTAAAAACCATTGAATTGTATACTTTACATGGATAAATTGATAGGTTTGTGAATTATATCTCAATAAAACTGCTAAAAAGAAAAAGAAATCAAATGCCAGGAGAAAACCAAATAAATCCCAGTGCATCTGAAAGGTACCACCTACCCTATCATTAATTTCTAGAAAATTCTCCCTTTATTGATTAATTTCTTTTGAAAGGAGGAATTATCTTCTTCCTCCAGTGGTGTCCAAGGTTGAATTTTTCTACTAGGCAGGAGGGCCAATCCTGATGCCTCCTCTACCCACTGTGCTCAGCTTATAATTCTGTGGGCCAGTTCTCACCTTTCTTCAGAGAGAGACAAGCCCAGAGAGGCTAAGACATTTGTCCAAAGTCACATCTCAAGAACACACGTCTCCCAGGTTGGGCCCTTTCTAGAGACTGAGGGCTGGTCTTCCAAAGGCACTGAGATATAACCTATCTCCGTTAAGTTATATTTAAAAATTTTAAATTTTAATCCCCTCTTAGAAGTCTCAGAGGCAGTTGGGGAAATGAAGTGACTTTGGATTACATATAGTTTGACTGAGTTTCCCCACTGGAGTCCCCTAGGCTTGTCACCTCTACCTGAAGTTAACCCCAATCCATTATCCCAGTGTGCCCTTCTTTTGTCACTTTTTTATGTGTGCCAGGGAATGAAAAGAGTTGGAAAGTGCTGAGGTCTTCTCCTTGGCATTTTCTGTGGCTGAAAGCACTGAACTGGGTGTCTCTCTGACACATAGATGGCCACCACAACCCAGAAGAAGAGATGTTCTATTGTTAGGAGATGGGCTAACAGCCATGTGACTTTGGGAAAGTTACTTAATCTCACTAAGCCTCACTTTTCCCATTTGTATGAAAGAAATAAAAATAACAGCTGTCCCCCAGTTTAGTTCTGAGGCTTCTATACGATGCTGCACATGGCATGCTTAGCTAGAGCCTGGTACACAGCTAGCACTCAATAAATGTATCTGCTGTGCTTATTAATTGCACGTGGTCTCCCTGCACTGGTGGTTGTCTGGAGCCAGTTTGGGCTTTTAGGCTGATTTCTGTCTG